GTAGAAGGAGGTGAGGACTGAGCTTCCAGACCAGCTCGTCTCAGCCGTCTGAGGAAGTAGAGTCTCTGATGATCTTTCTTCATCAGGCTGGTGGTGTTGTTGCTCCAGCTGAGGTTGTTGTTCAGGTGTACACCCAAGTACTTGTAGCTGGAGACCACTTCCACCACAGATCCTCTTATGTTCAGGGGGGTGTAGGTGAGTTTGTTCCTTCTGTTCCTTCTTGCTGTCTTCTTCACATTGATGTGAACGTTATTCTCTTTGCACTCTTCTCTTTCAACATCTACATGAATATTGAAATCACCCATTATGATGATTTTATCAGTATTTAATAATAAGTCAGTTAATAATTCTGAGAATTCAGACAAAAACTGAGAGTAAGCTCCTGGTGGACGATATATAACAACTAGTAAAAGTGGCTTTTCTGATTTCCATTTTGGATGAGAAAGACTGAGGGACAGTGATTCAAAAGAATCATAACTAATAACTGGTTTGGCATTAATCAATAATCCTGACTGAAAAATAGAAGCTACTCCTCCACCTCGGCCAGTTGTTCTAGGAACATGAACATTTAAATAATTAACAGGAGTGGATTCATTTATACCAACAAAATCCTCCTGTTGTAGCCAAGTTTCTGTCAGACACAATCAATCAATACGATGATCAGTTATCAGTTCATTAACTAACAGGGATTTAGAGGAAACAGATCTGATGTTCAATAATCCACATTTAATGAGTTTATGATTTTGCTCTGGTAAAGTAACTGTGTTTATTTGAATCAGATTTTTATGGTTTATATTTTTAGAGCTGATTTTTGGTTTATTTAATTTGAGCCGTGGGCGAGTTGACACTGTTTCAATGTGGGTGTGGGTGGGTAACAGAGGAGAAGCAGCAGAGAGGGTGGAGGACTACACCTCTGCTTCCTGGACTGGACCCTGGGTTGTCAATAATTTGGGGGATCAACAAAATCAGCCATATTTCTAGAAAGAAGAGCGGCTCCGTCCAAAGTGGGATGGATGCCATCTCTCCGCATCAGGCCAGGTTTTCCCCAGAAAGAACTCCAGTTATCTATGTAGCCCACGTCGTTGTCAGAACACCACCTGGACACCCAGCGGTTAAACCACGACATACGGCTAAACATGTCATCGCTGGTCAGGTTGGGGAGGGGGCCGGAGAAAACTACGGAGTCCCACATGGTTTTATAAAGTCACACACCGAAGCAACATTAATTTTAGTGACCTCTGATTGGCGTAACCGGGTGTCATTACCGCCGATGTGAATAACAATCTTACTGTATTTAGCCTTAGCCTTAGTCAGCAGTTTCAGATAAGATTCTATGTCGCCCGCTCTGGGCCCCGGAATGCATTTGACTATGACTATTTCTACAGCGCGGAGCCGAGCTTCCAGTTCAGACAGCCTCTCCTCCAAAGCTACCATAAGACTACATTTGTTACATGTATCATTACCACTAAAGGAGGCAGAGGAGGAACTAAACATCTGACACACGGAGCAAGAGAAAACAGAGGAAGCAGGAGAGGAGCAGCAGCCATGCTAAGCTATAAAATAAGTTAGAAAATGTTTCTCAACAGTAACCAATGTTCTGTTTTGTATAGGTTTCACCCTTTAAAGCTATTAGCAGTGGGTTAAAGTGAAGCAGGATGTAGTTATGCCTCACTGGGTCTGTTCAGAACCAGTCACACAGATATCTGCTTACAGTCTTGAATCAATCCGGATTGATTCTTCGAATCAGGCGTAATTACGCACCACTGAATCTGTGGCCTGAGACGCTGTGAGCAACAGAGAGTGAAGTAATCTCTGCGTCAGACTGAAGGCTGAAATAAACCCTGCTGCTGTGAGAACAGGCAGGATGGAGAGCTCACTGAAACATCTGCATCATCACCAGGGACAAGCTGGAGGCATCATCCAGATAAAAATGAATGAATGAGCATGGAGAAACCCAGGAAGCTGCTGCGCAAATGTCCTACAGTGACCTTGCAGAGCCGTGGAGGATGAGATTCCTCTGGTGGAGTGAGCTCTGAGCCCGTCTGGAGGCTGAGATCCAGAGGAATCATCTACCTGAAACAGCCTTACACAACCAGAATGACAGGCGCTGAGAAGACAGGAAGTCCTTCAGATGGATCGCTGAGGTGCTGAGATGCTGAGAGCGGCGTGATCCAGCCGTGCACGAGACGTAGCAGGAGAGTGCACACACAGCGCAGAGGAGCTGACAGGTGGCTTCCTCCTCCACTTGCACAAATGATAGTGGCGTTCAGTATGTACTGCAAAACCCCGTGATACAGAATTAATTTTTTTTTAATGTGATGTATTAAGAGAACCTTGATGTAGAGAGGGATGAGTAAAAAGATGTATTCTTATGGTAGCTTTGTAAACAAGGTTCTCTGAACTGGAAGCTTGAGTCTTCCTATTGAAAAACTGTTAAGCTATCCAGCCTCCTGTAGGCATTGTGGAGCCACCAACAGGAGCTCTAACTCATCATAATCCAGCACACCTGATGCATCTGAATCCAGGCCAGCTGGGGGATTATTCAGAGCAAGCACAAAGCAAAGCTAGTCCTTGCTGCATGTATCACACTCAGTGACACCTGATGTGTGTGCACTTATTTATAGCCGCAGCTTCGTGCACTCCGCCCATCTTCGGACGACTGTACGTACATATTCGCGTTGTATCTCGGTGCAATGCCAATAAAGTTTATTCTGATTCTGATTCTGACAAGTGGACTTTAGTAACTGGTCCTATATGTGACTTTAGGGCCAGCAGCAATCATCTTTTCATTGGTACTGATGTCCCTAAACACATCCCACGGGCCAGAGCAAATACCAGGGAATCTTACCTGAAACCACAGATGATGTCACAGACAATGACACTGATTCAGCAACAGAAACGTGGCTACAAGATTTTATTATTAGAACAAGTCAAGGAGAAGCAGCTGCAATTATTAATTAATCCAAGGCAATTATCTGGTATATTTCTTTTAGTTTTGACCCTCTGTGTTTCTAATCTAAAATGGAAATAATAAATAACACTTTAATTTGTTGTGTATTGTCCATCAGGCCCTTAGTTTCAGTTTTAGTCTGAATTATTTTCATTGAGTTCTTGTTGAATACAGACAAAGTCAAATTATTGGGGCTTTCCAGTATCGATGTAGAAGTTGAAAACTTTAGACTAAAGTGCAGTTTAAAGCGTGGAAGTCCACACTCTGCTGTATTTAATGCTCACTTTAACAGTATTGTGTTTTTGTTGATTTAAAAAAGTCCTTCGACACAACTGTCCACACCATTCTCCTAGAAAAACTGAATAAATATGCATGAGAGGATTAGCACTACAGTGGGTATCAAGTTATTTGAATAATAGGAGACAGTTTGTACAGGTAAATCATGTAAGATCAGAATTTTGTTTTAATGCATGTGGAGTTCCTCAGGGCTCTGTGTTGGGACCAAAGTTGTTTATTTTGTATGTGAATGATCTGGTTGATGTGTCAGGGCTTTTGAAGTGATTTATTTGCAGATGATACCACATTTTTTTGTTCGGGTGAAGATATTGAACAGATATTAGAGAAGTTACAACAAACTTGGTTCCAACTTAATAAGTTATTAAATTTGGAAAAAAACAATATTATAATATTTAATAATAGAAATAAAATTATCAAAGTTCCATTTAAAATTGACAGTATTGAAATTCATAGAATTAATGAAATTAAATTTTGGGGCGTCGTTATTGATGAGAAGCTGACGTGGAAATCTTCATGTAAATTATTTAAGAATAAAAATAGTCAAATCAATTGTATTACTGTATAAAGCAAAAGAGTTTTTGAATGACAACGTTTTGTATATATTGTATAATGTAATGATTGTTCCATATTTAATCTACTGTATTGAAGTGTGGGGAAAAGCATGCAAAACAATTACAAACACTACTTTTATTTGGCAAAAAAGAGCTATAAGAATTATTAATAAGTGCTATGGTCACCAACAAATATATCATTTCATCAGTTGAAATTATTTAAATTTTATGATTTGGTTGAATATAATATTTTACAAGTCATGTATAAAGCTCATAAAAATTTTTACCCCCAAACATTCAATTAAAATTTGGTAAAAAAGAGAGTATTTAAATAACTTTAAGGGAATGGAATGTTTGTAAAACCTCCATTTAGAGGTGGTGTGAAGGAGCTGCGTTGTAGTTCAGGGAACAGGATGTGGAATTGTCTTGATATCACCATCAAAATGTATAAAACATCCATCCAACCATTTTCTTTACCCGTTTATTCCATTTTGGGTCACGGGGGTCGCCGGTGCCCATGTCCAGCAATCACTGTGCGAGGGGCGGGGGACACCCTGGACAGGTCTCCAGTCCATGACAGGGACACATGGAGACAAACGAGACAAACAACCATTCACTCTCTCACTCACACCTAGGGACAATTTAGAGTTACCAATCAGTCTAACATGCATGTTTTTGGTCTGTGGGAGGAAACTGGAGCACCCGGAGAAAACCCACGCATGCACGGAGAGAACATGCAAACTCCACCCAGAAAGGCCCCTGGACCGGGGTTTGAACCAGGGACCTGCTCGCTGAGAGGCAGCAGCTCTACCAGTTGCACCACCGTGCTGCCCTATGTATAAAACAATTTATGTTTAAAAAGATGATTAAGTTAAATTTGTTAGTAAAGTATGATACCATGTGAAGGATGCCTGATGTTTTTGTTTTCGCTGTAGGGTTCAGCCTGACTTTTTTGTACTTTTTTAAATAAGGGGCAGATATAATCTTTTTTTTCTTCTTTCTGCATCCTTTTCATTCAATGTTTTTTTTTCTTTTTGATGAATTTTTATTTTTTGTTTCTTTTCAATGAATGAATAAATGAATAAATGTGGCTTTGCATAAAGAGGTCCTGGTTTGTGAATTTACCTCGCTTGCAGGCTTCATGCAAAGCTGAAGGGAAATGTGTGTGATGTGTGTGCATGTGCGCTCCGTTCTGCAGCAGCAGTTCCAGACAAGCAACACTTCCTGAGGTGCAGCAGCTGATCAGAGGAGTGACGCCATCGATGGTGGCAGCGTTCACCTGAAGACAAACGCCACATGAGCACACCTCCTCCTTAAAAACAATGTTTTTATGTACAATGAGAAAAATGACTTACATTGGCCCCAACGCTGATTAATGCTCGGACACATGCGGCGTGTCCTGACAGGCAGGCTTCATGAAGAGGCGTCACATGATCAATAGTGACAACGTTAGCATAATATCCCTAGAAAACAGATATATACAGTCTTTGGTTCAGATTTGTGGTGGATGCGAGGTGAAAACACGGTTTAAAACATGCAACTCCTGAATGCTTCCAGTGCTTGTATAGCATGCACGTACACAATGAAGGAACTGTAATGCAGATGTTAAAATACCACTGAACCACTGGGATGTTCCAGAAAAATAATCTCTGAGCTCTCTATTGAAACATTCCTCCTCAATGTGGACATTTATGCTAAAATTTCTTGAACTCAGCTTCAGGTACATCATGCATGTGTTGTTCTTTTGCTACAAACGTTTAAAACCAAAATTCTACTAATCTGGACTGTTGTGTAAAATGTAAATAAAAACAGAATATAATTAGTTACGTCACATAAAGCCATATGAAATTAATATGAGACATCATAAACATACTCGGTGTTTAAATTATTTTAAAAACGTCCAAATTTACTGTAAAAAAGTTATTTAGACTATATTGGCAGCAACAGCTCTAAAAACTGTTTCACGTTAGCCACGGTGACCCCCCCCCCCCCACACACACACACACACACACTTATTTTAACATCTGAGGAGACCAGCTCTAGCAGTTCTGCAGGGTTCCCAACAGAGCTGAAGGACAAGAAAAGAGCTGGTTGCTGGTATTAAGAAGGCCAAGGCCACATATGCACAGAGGATCCAGGGTCAATTCACCTCACAAGACCCTCGGAGCAGGTGGAGGGGCATTAACAGATTATAAAGGAAGGAGCGAACAATGCCCCAAAGATCCATCTCAACAAGTTCTATGCACGCTTTGAAGACCCGAACAGACCACCCAGCACCAGACTCACCTCGCCACCGGATGAAGAGCATCTCAGCGTGACCTCAGCAGAAGTAAGGAGTACCTTCAGGAGGATTAATCCGCACAAAGCAACTGGCCCAGACAACATCCCCGGAAAAGTGTTGAAGGAATGTGCTGATCAGCTCTGTGAGGTGCTGGCAGACATCTTTAACACCTCACTTACCCTGGAGACAGTTCCCACCTGCCTGAAGACTGCCACCATCATCCCAGTCCCAAAAAGCTCTACAGTGACTGGTCTGAATGACTATCGGCCAGTGGCCCTCACCCCGATAGTCGCTAAATGCTTCGAAAAACTG